CACCAAGTCTCCTCAGAAATGCCCTCCCCTCCTGCTTGCTTGAATCCTATTCATATCAGCCCCTGTAACACCTCCTTCTGGCATGTCTCTCATCATCTGGCCCATTCCTCACACCACCAGCCTCTGAACCCTGCTCAGCCAATGCCTGCTCAACGTGGAAGGCTCAGCTCAACCCTAAGTTCCACAGCAGCCATGGGGGGCTTCTCCACTTGCCCAAGGCAACTATTCACACCTCACTGCAAGACCATCTCTGTCTGCTTATTCCTGCACCAGAAGCCATGTTGTCCACACACCTCACACACACAGCTGGCACCGGCCACACAGCAGGGCTCAGTAAGATGTGACCCGAATCATCACTGCGCTTTGACGAACTCTCTTACTCATTCTCCCTGCAGCCCTGGGTGTATCTTTCCAACCATGGCTACACATGCTTTGAGGGTGCCTACTCCTCTCTATGTCACTCACAGGGCCTTGCTCTCAGTGGGTGCACAAGAAATATTCTATTGACTTATTCTTTAAAATTGTTTAATTATTTCATTCCATTTTATTTATTCATTTATTTATTTTAATTTGACCAGACAGGGACAGAGCAAGAGTGAGAGAGAAAGTAAGAAAGTGAGAAAGCAAGCTGCCAAGTCTGGGACTCAAACCACGGCCAGCCACGTGGGAGTCCAACGCCATTACCCACCAACCCACCTTCCGGCCCCGCCATTGACTTATAACTGATCCATGTGCTACTTTTAATTTTTTTCCAAAGAGCATGTGCACTTGCCAAAAAAGGGAGAGAGAGACAAAAAGAAAGGGAGAAGAGAAAGCACCCCCTATGGGGAACGGTCATGCAGCAATCCTTTCTCCTCCATGTCTCTCTCTTTTCGGGATTTTGGCCATGTACACACACGTGCCTGACTGTTTCTCAAGCCCTCAGGTCTGGACTTAAACAGCACAGCTGGTCATGTGACAGGCAGTGGCCTTAGCCACCAGGCCACTGAGTCAGCCCTAATACATGACTTTCATTGTGACCTCAGCTCTAATTCACTCACGGACCTCTGATGCTCCGGGTCCGGATCTCCTAGGCATAGATCGTATACAAAGATAGATGAGGTTTTGCTTGTTTATTTCTGGGTCTCTTTAATCAATGAAATTCTCAAAGAGCACTAGCTTTCTATCATCACAACAATGAGTTCAGTCTAAAACTAATGATTCGGAAGCCACATTATCCCTAAAAGCACTCACTTCCAACTCCTAATGCAAGAGGAAAACATGGAAGAGTTAACTCAGCTTCCCACGCATCCAGGGAGCTGCAAATCAACTGGAAATATCTGGTTCGATCTTGTTATTACAGAGTACAGACTAGACAGCACTGTCACCACAAGGGACAATCATTCTATGAACACACACACAAGCTTGTGACCTTTACACAACATTCCAGAGATACAGGAGCTGAGTGGGCCCGGGAGGAAGGGGTGGGCTATGCATAGCACAGTGGGCTGAACTCTGGGTAGGGGCCAGATTCCTGGCCGGCTCGGCCTGGGTGATTCCTTATCTCCAAGTAAGCACCGTGCTCTGGGGACGTCCAGAGCATTTTCCACCTGACTACCATGAACTCTCTGCCCTGGGACCTGGCCCAGCTCTCCTCAGCTCTAGATTTCAGCCAGGCCAGGGCTCACCCACCTCCCATGCTGCAGCAGTCCCCTCAAGTTTATGAGGACCTGAGCACAAAATCCCATAGACTCATGGCAGCTCTGAAACCTCAGCTCAACCTGCAAGGGCCAATGGCACCCAGAGCTGAACAAAGTGGAAATCATGACAGGCCTGAATGGGAGAAGAGGAAAAAGAAAACAGGAGAGGAGAGGTCAAGGAATGGGTTCCTTCTGGGCACGGAGCCAGCCTTCCACCAGGTCCCCTTGGTCTGGGAGTCAGAGTCGTGTGCTGTACTACAAGTCATCAGCTCTCAGAGGCAGTGCCCTGGGTTCTAACCCCAGCTCGGATGCTTAGCAGCTGTGTGGCCTTGGGCACATCCTCTCTAGCAAGCGGCAAGGTTGGCCTGAGCCAATAAGCTATGTCGCTGAAGGGACGAGCCCAGTACTGGCACCCAGAAAATGCTAAAAAAGTGTGTTCTCTCCCTGCTCTCTTTCAGGAGGTGACAGCAAACATCCAGGTACAAGGGGAGCCCTGCCCTCAGGGTTGATGTGCTCAGCCCCCTAAGTGACAACAGCAGAAATAAATGTATGGAATGTACTACTCAAAACTATTAAGGGACCCTGGGGGAACCAGCAGTTGGCGTGATGGCTATGTCACTGGACTCCCACGTAGTCGACCGCGGTTCACGTCCCGGACTCGGTGGCTTAAAACTCACGCCGGGCGTGTGTGCGTGCGTGCCCAAGATCCCGAGAGGAGAATGGAGGAGAAGGGATTGTGGCGTGACCATCCCCTCTGGGGGGGTGATTTCTCGCTTTCTGTTTCTATGTCTCTGTCTGTCTGGCGAGCGCACACACCCTATAGCGAAAATCTCTCCAAAAAAGAAAAAAAAGAAACTATTTAGGGACCCTTTATTCATTCGTTCAATAAACACTTGTTGAGCGTTGAAGACTCTGCTCCAGCATTATCACTTTTTTTTATTGCCAGGGCATCCATGTATTTGCCAGAGAGAGTGTGAGACAGAGACAGAGACCAAGAGAAAGGGGGCTGCATTTGCCAGAGAGAGTGTGAGACAGAGACCAAGAGAAAGGGGGTCCTGGTGACACTGCAATCCTTTTTTCTGCATTTTCCCTCCTGTCAGGATTCTGAGCACGCACACACATGTGCCTGGTGTATCTTTCAAATTGCTCGGGTTGGGACTTGAACTCACAGCCAGTCAAATGGGATCTGGCTTCCTATGCACAGCACTTAACTACTGTGCTATGGGCCCAGGCCTGCCCCGCACTACTGACGAGCTTCCTGGATCTAGACACAGTGGAACTTTAGGCAGTTACTACTCCTGAACTGCTTTGTCCCTGGTCCTGTCTGTCCCTTTGGAAATGAATATGACAGCGTCCTACCCACCATCATCTAAGCTCTAGATTTTAGGGTATGAAAGGTGGCCCAAAGATGATGATGACAAAGGTTACAATGCCACAAATAGTAAGTGATGCTTACACAGAAGTATAATTTAGCATAGAGGACATTCCCAGGTAGAAGAGGGGACAAGACCCATGTCCCAAGCTGTTATGTGAAAAGTCTGACCCCATCTCTAAAAGCATGATAGTACAGATCAATATTTTGCATCTAGTGGCCCACAGGTGGCATGGTGGTTAAGGTGCTGGACTCCCGCAGGGCCGGCTGCAGTTTAGAGTCCCAGACCTAGAGGCTCACTTTTTCACTTTCTCTCTCTCTCTTTCTCTCTCGCTCTCTCATGAGTGCACATGCCCTATAGCAAATGAAATAACAATAATAATCAATAAAATTAAATAAATAATTCTTTTAAAAATATATTTTGTAATGTATATGTAGTGAAGGGCAGTTTTCCTTTACTTTCAATTTCTTACGGATTGATATTTTTGTAAGTACACAAATTATGTGCTTGAATGCTGCAGTGATAAAGAATTATTTTAAGAATTCTAAATACAGGGGCCAGCATGTGGCATGGTAGTTAAGGGCACAGTGTCTGGATCCCACATGGCTGACAGTAGTTCAAGTCCTGGACCTGGTAGCTTGCTTTCTCACTTTCCCTCTCTCTCTCTTTCACTCTCTCACTCTGTCCCTCTCTGGTCAAATTAAAATAATAAATAAAGTTAAATAAAATAACTCTTAAAAAGAAAGTATCCTCAAGCCACGCTCTCGAGGCTGATGTTTAGCTCATCACTAACAGCACTGAACCATTCATAAAGTGGCCCAGTCCATGAATCACACTTGGGCTAACACTGATGCAGTCTAGTTCATTCTGCAAAATGTTCAACATCTAGCGTAATACTGTCACATCCTGCACATTAATACAAGAAATGGAATTATACAGCCAGCAGATGGCAGAGAGATGACATCGCAGGACTACACATAGCCAACCATGGTTTGAGTCCTGGACCAGTGACTTGAAAAATCACACCGGTCATGTGTACGTGCGTGCCCGAAATCCTGGAAAGAGACTGGAGGAGAAGGGACTGAGGCATGGCCATCCCTCCTGTGGGGTTATTTCTTGCTTTCGCTCTCACTATCTCTGTCTCTCTGTCTTGCGAGCGTACATGTCCTAAGTCAAAAATCTCTTTAAAAAGGAAAGAAAGAAAGAAATGGAATTATAAAGTGCAACTTACCTTCTGATGGCTGAAATTTGATCAGGTCCTGCAAGTCAGTAGAAATCTGGAAAACGTGGCTATAGAACTGTTGGACTGAATTCTTCAGGCCAGCAATGTCTCGGGAATGTGACCTGAGCGTCCCGTTCATCTGCCGGACACAGTTCCACAGGCTGCTGACGTGCCTGTTGAGCCCGTCCTTGATCCTCTGAAGACTTCCCGAGATGGAGTCCAGTTTGCTGCAAGTTCTCTCCATCTGAGCTACCCTGCCCTCGACCGCAGAGACCTCTCTCTGGACCCCATGTGTGTTTTCCTTACAAGTGTCCAGCTCGGAAAGGACCTGGCTCTGGAGCCCCTGCCACCTCTCCTCCAGCTGACCACAGCAATGAGCCATGGGGTCCTGGGGAGACGGGAGGGTCTCCACCGTCCTTTCTTGCTCACCCACCTTTGTAAACCCACTCACGTCAGCATTTACACCTGCTCTCCATTTGCTCACTACATTCTGAAGGTGAGTCACGTTCTTTTCTGTGTGGTTTAATTGAGAAGAAAGAAAACTAAAATCTTCTTGAAGTTTCTGGATGCTATGTTCAGTTTCTTGAAACTTCCTATGCATCGTGTCATTTAGGTATTTCAAAAGGCTCAAGCTGTCACCCACCGTGTGGTCTTCCCCATTCGGCAAAGTGCCTTCTATCCCAGGAAGCTCTCCCCGGAAGTTCTGCAGACAAAGATCCTGGACAACCTGCACTTTGTCCTTCAGGTGGTTTAATTCTAGCATGACTTGTTCACTCCCTGACCCTGACACACCGGGCAGGGCTGATCCCAGGAACGTGAATTCTCCATTGGTGCTGTTGGCCATCTGCAGGAGGACACTCCCCAGACGGTCTTCCAGAGACTGTATTTTCTGATCAAGCAGCTGCTTTAAGTCGTCTACCTCTCCATTGATGGTTCCCCGCAGGGTTTCCTCAATGTAAAAGCAATGTTCTTCAGCGTTCTTTTCTGTCACATTGATCCTTGCATCTAGTTCATTCCATCTCTCGTCAAAGTCTGAATTTGGTTCTGGAACTGCGAGGCGGTCAAACTCATTGTCCAGTCGTCCATTCAGCATTCTGGTGGCTTCAGCAACTCTCTCAATTTTCTGGTCTAGCGTCTTGATCTGTTGGCCAAAGTCACCATTCTTCTTAGCATCACAGCAGTTTGGCTGGGCTGAAGGCCCCTGCAGCCGGGCTCGAAGGTCATTTATTTCCTTCCTCAGGCCTGTTTCTTTCTCCCCTATGAGCTCTATCACCCCCAGGTAGCTGCTGCCATAGTCGTCACACTGCTGTTGGAGGCCCACCAGCTTGTACTCACACGAGTTCTTCAGGTCGGCCAGTTTCCGGTCCATTCCCTCCATGAGTTCTTCTCTCAGGGCGTCAATCTTACTGTCTACATAGGCTTGGTAGAGCTCGTTGGTCGTCATGGTCACCGTGGGGCCCTGGGCAGCCTCCTGGAGCTGTCTGAGCCTCCCTTCATAACCCTTCACTTTCCCATCCAGCTCTTCCAGCTTGTCGCTCTTGGTCTTCAGAGTGTCTTTGACTTCGGCCAGCTCAGACTTGATGTCCTTCATGCCAGATTCCTTGCTACTGAGGACACCCGGAAGCTGGACCGTTTCTGTGTCTCCAGCAACAGCGCTGTCAGGCACGGGCTGGGGGTGCAGGTTGCTGAGCCACGAGGCCAGCATTTTACTAGCATCATCCTGAACAGCGTGTTTGAGGTTTTCATTCACGCCAGCCATGGAGGACTGCAGGTCAAGAACTGTCCTGGTAAGTCGGAGGACCTTCTCCTCAAGCACCTGGATCTTCTTTTCCTGAAGTTCTTGAGGCCCCTGTTTTGGATCCACTGCCTGACTTGCATCTGCTGCATGAGTTGGTGACGTCTTCTTGGGCTCGGAGACCTGGCTTGGCTCATTATCTGTTATAAAGAAAAAGTTGGACATAAATTAATGTTTTATGTTAACCAGGTTTTTGAAGACAATCAACAGGGAGCCTACAAAATACACTTAAAACCTTCACTGGCAGGGGCCCTACCTACTGTAGGTAAGTATGTGGTAGAGTGGAAAAGCATAGGTTTGGAGTCAAATAGATGCCTACTTGCATTCTGCCTCTACTCTTTGCTGTTTGCTCACAAGCAAGTTAATTAACTTCTGAGAACCAGAATTCCTTCATCTCTAAAGAGGAGGTCCAGGACTGGCCTCAAAATGCAGCTATTAAGGGAGCCAGATCCTACATGGCTGACCACCATTTGGATCCCAACTCCAGAGGTTTGAAAGACACATAAGGCAAGGTGGGGGGTGTAGCCAAAACCCTGACAGGATGGAGAAGTGGAAGAAAATGATTATGGCCTGACCACATTTTCTCCCTCTTCTGCTCTGTCTCTCTCTCTGCCTCATGCATGCACAAGTTGGCAATTAAAAAGGGGGGGAGGAGGAGCAGGTACAATTCCTCCTATAGTTGTTCTTTATTTCTTGTTTTTGGAAACTATAATCTTTTTGTTAAGTTAATTTATTTCTCCCATGAACAAGAGAGAGAACAAGCACTCCCACACAAGGTCCGATACCATGATTCCTCCCCATCCCCACCTCATCCCCAGCTTCAGCCAGCCCCAGATCATGGATAGTCACATGCCTGGCGTACTCAGAGTTCTCTGGATGTGAACCCAGAACCTTCCCATGTGAGTCAGCCTTGCAGAGTAGCTCATTCTACCGCTGCACATTTTACCTTCTGGCCCTTCTCCTAGTTGTTAAGTTGTTATGTCATGTTATAGAGAATCAATGTCCGTTTTACCCTGAAATGAAATATTCACTCTCTGCTTTCTCATCTGAGACATCATTCCCACAGTAGTGAGCTGCAGCCACACCCGAGACACCACACTGTCAAACAAGAAGCCACTTTAGCAAGGATCCACCCATTAGCAGCTGGATGGTAGGTATCATGTCATCTGAAGTTATTCTCAAAGCAGCTCCTGAGTGTTCTTTTACTTTCATTCATATCCATCTGCTGAAGGAGTCCCACAGACACTGTTCAGTCTTGTGATGCATTTGAAGAAACTAAGAGCAACAAGATAAAGCACTTGATTCTATTGGTATCTCCAACAACAGAGCATCTGGCTACGTAGAATGAGACATATTAAGTCAGAGAATGCAAACACTGAATTTTTAGCAATTCTCTTTTGAGAAAATACTCCCAAGGAAACAGTCCAAAGAGAACAAATGATTGTAACAATGATAGCGATAAGTAAGAAGATGAAAATACATGGATAGATGTAGAGAGAGATAAAAAGGAGACTATGGAAACCTGTAGCAAAAGAATAAGAAACTAACTATGTCCTTGGACCCAGTAGGAGACAAGGAATTCTGTCACAGAGTTAGCATCAATAAGCCTGGAAACTGGACACAAATAACTGCGAAAAGTCAACACAGCATGGATGGATCGTAATGAAATGAGACACATCAGTGAATGACACAGAAGAACACTGGAAGCAAAGTGAGAATTTTGTAGACACTTGAGTCTACTGTTATTGTCTTTTCTCGTGTTTGCAGAAGATAATAGAAACTATTGTTTGTGAAATGTTATGTAGTGGTATAACCAAAAGCATATCTTTTTTCCTATAAACAACCATAAAGAACACCTTATTTTTCCCACTATCCCAAGACACTAGATGGAGAAAAGTTACTGAATAATATAGAAGTCAAGTGCTATGGCAGACAAAAGGGAAATAAAAAGGCAGAACAATGAGGGAAAGTCAAGGATGTAAGGGAATGCTTCTCATGCACACCTGGTGACTGGATGCTGCTACAACTTTTTGAAAGATAATTTGGCAATGTGTATCAAAATACTCAGAATCTCTTTTACCTTGCAAGTACACTTTCTAAAAATTTATTCTCGCAAATAATCAGAGATGAGTGGGAAAATTAGCAAGAAAAGATGGCCATTCAAATATTACCTATAGGGGCCAGCAAGTGGCATAGTGGTTAAGGCAATAGATTCCCACATGGTTGGTCGCAGTTCAAGTCCCAGACCTGGTGGCTTGAAACTTACGTGAGATGCATGTGCGTGCATGTCTAAAATCTTGAGAGGAGAATAGAGGAGAAGGGAATAAAACATGGTCATACCCACTGGGGGGTGATTTCTCATTTTCTTTCTGTCTCTCTGGTTAGCACATGTACCCTACAGCAAAAGTCTCTCTCAAAAAAAATCTATAACAGAAAAATGAGAAACAACCTAAGTGACTAATCTAGTGTTATGTTCAAATAACCCCATCCTCTAAAGCCATGAAATAATTTTGTAGAACATTTAATGACATGGAAGGTGTTATAGATTATTAAGTACAAAATAACTTCCCCAAACAATAAGTTATTTATAATGATAATAAAATATGGATAAGCATTTTCATCCACTTTCTTCTAAAATCTCACTAAAATGGCAAAAACAGCAGTGGGAGAGGGATGGGGAGGACCAAAATCCCACCCAAAATCACACATAAAAACTTGGGAATTGTGGGCCAGCAGATGGAGTGATGGTTAAGGCAACCGGATGCTAGATTGCTGACTGCAGTTCTAGTCCCAGACTTGCAGCTTGGAAAACACACCAGCACGTGTGTGCATGCCCAGAATCCCAAGAGGAGAGTGGAAGAGAGAGAATTGCAGCATGGCTGTAGCTCACTGGAGGGTGCTTTCTCACTTTCCATCTCTCACTCTCTTTCTCCCTGTCAGTCTCCTGAGAGCAAGTGCACCCTATGGCAAAATTTTTTTTAAAAACGGAGGCTGTGGAGCCCGCAGGTGGTGTAGTAGTTAAGGTACTGGACTCCCATGTGGTTGACTGCAGTATGAGTCCCAGACCAGGGCTTGAAACTCAGGGCAGGCATGTGTGTGTATGTGTCTCTGTGTGTGTGTGTGTCCAAAATCTCTAGAGGAGGATGGAGAACGGATTTTGGTGTGGTCATTTCCCCCCACCCCCCACGGGGGTGACTTCTTGCTTTCTGTCTCTCTGTCTCTCCGGTGAGCACACACCCTATAGCAAAAAACTCTCTCGCAAAAAAAAAAAAAGGTGGTTGTTATTTAATTTGCTATAGAGTGTGTTCACTCACCAGAGAGAGAGAAAGAGTGAAAGAACCTCCCAGCAGAGATGGTCACACCACAATCCTCTCTCCTCCATTCAGAATCCATTGGGATTCTGGGCATGTGTACACATCCACACCAGCATGTTCCCCAAGCCACCAGGTCCTGGACTCAAACCACACAGTCAGCCATGTAGGATCCAGACACCTCAACCACCACACCACCGTATGTTTTTAAAAATTCAGAATCTTGGGGCCGGTAGGTGGCATGGTGGTTAATGGCGCTAGACTCCCACATGGCCAACTGCAGTTCGAGTCCCGGACCTGACAGCTTGTTTTCTCAATTTCCCTCTCTTTCTCACTCTGTCTTTATTATTATTAAAAATAATAACAACAAATGGAATTAAATAATTATTTTTAAAAATAATGAATTTATTTAACTCTATTTTATTTATCGTTTATTTAAATTGACCAGAGAGAAACAGAAAGGGAAAGTGAGAGAGCAAGCCACTAGGTCTGGGACTCAAACCAGTCGGCCATGTAGGAATCCAGTACCTTTAATCACCAAGTCACCTGCTGGTCTCAAGAATTATTTTAATTTAATTTAATTTAATTTATTTTTATTTGACCAAAGAGGGACAGCCTGAAAAAGAGAGAGAGAGAGAGAGAGAAAGAGAGAGGGAAAGTGAGAAAGCAAGCCGCCAGGTCTGGTACACAAATCTTAATTGGCCATGTGGGAATCCAGCATCCTTAACTACCATGCCACCTGCCAGCCCAATAAAATAATTCTTAAGAAAAAAAAAAAATGGGAGTCTGGCCCAGCCTGGTGGCATAACTGGATAACTGGTAGTGTAGTGGATTGTAATGCTGGAGGCCACATGGCCAGCTACAGGTTTGGATCCCTGGCTTGGTCAACCTGCGACAAACAGAGCATGTGTGAGTGTACCCAAGATCCTGAGCTGGAGGGCCGCGGGAAGGGCAGCACAGCACAGAGAGATGCTGTCAAGGGCGCCTTCTCCTCCTCCCTCTACTTCTCATGTGCTCGCTGTCATAATTCAAAAATTGGGAATCCAAGTGCCTTTGTACTTTTTAACAAAAATATTAGAAGCTATAACAAAACTGAGGGATATTTTAAATTTTCTGAAGGAGAATGCCTTCCAACCTAGAATTCTAAAGCTAAGGTAACAATATTTTCAGACTATAAAGTTATCAAAAGTTGGCCTCCCATGCAATCATCTGATGAAGCTACAGGAGGATGTGATCAATCAAAACAAGAGAATAAACCAAAAAAGAGTAAGGAGGGGATGTAGGAAACAGGGACCCCAATAGGAGAGAGGTGAGTTACAAGCCCAGGTGACAGCTATGAAGCAGAAGAGGACCAATCAGGTGGGGATGTGAGAAGGCTCTGGGAGAGTTTCTGTGAGATGATACCACTGTGCATGAACACAATGAGGAAGCACTGAGAGAACAGAGAAATGTTTGGCTTGAAATAGGGGTGAAAATGAAGAAGAACAGGGGCCAGCAGTTAGCATAATGGCTATGTCGCTGGACTCCTATGTAGTCGACTACGGTTCAAGTCCTGGACCCAGTAGCTTAAACTCACGCCAGGCACGTGTGTGTGCCTGCCCAAGATCCCAAGAGGAGAATGGAGGAGAAGGGATTGCGGTGTGGCCATCGCCCCTGGGGGTGATTTCTTGTTTTCTGTCTCTCTATCTCTCTCTGTCTTTCTGGTGAGCGCATGTGCCCTGTAGCAAAATCTCTCAAAAAAAAATAAATAAATAAAAATAAAATAAAAAAGAACAACAACAAATAAAGGGAAAATGTAAAGCAATTATTAACTCTAAGGAATCAAAAAGCTATGCAGAGGGCCAGCAGGTGGCATGGTGGTTAAATGTGTTGGACTCCCACATGGCCGACTGTGGTTCAAATCCCAGACCTGACAGCTTGCTTTCTTACTTTCCCTCTATCTCTCTGTCACTCTCTGATTGAATTTAAAAATAATAATAATAATAATTGAAGTTAAAGAAAATAACTCTTATTTTTAAAAAAGTTATGAAGAGGTCCAGCCAAGTTGGCTTCACAGCTTGGGAGGCTGGAAGCCTCATGGGGGCAAGTGTTCAATTCTGGGCCAACTTTACACACTGAGCACAGATGTGTGTACCTATAATCATAGCTAACTGGGAGCCTTGGGTGGGAGGATTCACAACACAGTGAGATCCTGCCCAAATACCTCTCTCTCTCTCTCTCATAAAAGAAATAAAATTTAAATTAAAAAAAAAAAAACTGAGCGGAACCAGCAGTTAGC